CACACACACACACACACACACACACACACTTTTAACAGAAATTACAAGCGTTTTTAGCGTATGAAGTATGAAGTCTCGGCGAGCGACAAAAGCCACACAGAAAGTGGAGACCCCGAGTGTGTACAGCAGGTCCAGTTATTTCCCAATGGTGGGTTTAAATTTGCTTTTACCAACTATCTTTTTCTCACCACAGGAAAAACGTTTTACGACTCAACATCTTCTATCGGGAATTGAACTATGAGGAGGTCATGCAGCAGGAAGCGTACGATATTTTTGCTCTGCTCTGTGAGTATTATAATAATCTTATTTTCTCTACTTTTTTAAAGTTCTGGTAAGAGTTCTACGGCACTTGCAACACAATTAGGTCATATAAATTTCGAAGATGAGAGGTGTTACAATAGAGTAAGAAACGTAAAAAAAGAAGGAGGAGAGATAAGGACGAGAGATGTTTGATAAGAAAAAAGGAGCAAACCATACCAGAGCACCCGCCAACCACCTACTTCCTGTCGTATCATTAGATGTCGACTGGAGGGACAATTTTTGGTCAAGGGCTATCAGAGTCTGTTGGATTGAGGATCCACCCCGGAAAGTCAAAGGTCCTAAGGACAAATGCACAACGAAAGGAGCAGGTCACCGTAGAAGGAAATGCACTAGAACACGTTGAATCCTTCTGCTATCTTGGGAGTATAATTGACAGAGAGGGAGGAACAGGTGCTGAAATAAAGTCCCACATTGGGAAAGCACAGGCTGCTTTCATATCTTTGGATATGATCTAGAAGACCAGAGATATCTCACTTTGAACAAAGCTGAGGATTTTCAATTCAAATGTGAAGTCAGTCCTGTTTTATGGATGTGACACATGGAACGCATCACAGACTTGCATAAAGTTAATCCAAGTTTTCTTGAACAAGTGTCTAAGAAGTTATTGAGGATCAGAGGGACAGACAGGGTCACCAACGAAGAAGTGAAACCAGACAGAACCCAGTCAGAGATGAGGTAGGGAGAAGGCGGTGGCGATAGATTGGGCATACTCTCAGCAAGTCAGGCAGCTGCATACCCAAAAATAATGGTTGGATCAGAATCCACAGTGTACGAGATCAAGGTGAAGTCCGCGTGGAACCTGGTAAAGAATCACAGAAATTGATGTACAGAAAAGTGGGAAGACATGGAATAACATCAAGAGGCTAGCCTAGGATAGAGAAAGGTGAAAAGTGTTTGTCCGTGGCCTATACCCTGGTGCTGGGTGAGAAAGGCAATGATGATGATTCTTTTGGTGGATCTCTTCAACACCATTCGGCCACGTTTTGCGTGATCTGAATCATATAATCAAAGGATCATAGGTTTTTTATTGAAAAGTGTAAAAATTGTAGACCCTTCATGCCCTCATTAAACACAATTTAGAACTTTAAGGTGGCGGGTTGCTTTGCCCCTGTCTGTCAAAGTCAATCCAGGCTGAATGGGACGCAACGTCGTCCCAATAGATAGACGGAGATTCTCTTTCTTTTTCTTTAAAGACTTCGATCCTCACAGGGAAGTCTAACTGACGTCTCCCAGAGAGTGGGTTGATTGACTTATCGATCTATCTCTGAATGTTTGGCTGACGTATGAGAGAAGTGATAGTTTCCGTGCATCAGGGATGTATCAATTAATTTAGTAGGGGATGCAAAGGTTATAAATGATTGCGACCATAACTCCACACTCGTTTATGAAAAAACATTTAAAATGTTTTGTTTTACTCTGTTTTGATTGACATTTTAAATTAGTATTGATATTTCTCGATTGATTTTCTTCACAAAATCAGAATTTGATATTTCCTTGGATGAATTGATATTTCGACGAAGTTTTGTTGAAATGTTTGCGGGATGATCCATTTATTGCCCTTTACATTGGTCCCCTGCACCCAGTACTATGTTACCTATCTCACTTCACAAGTTATAAGCTATCTGGGCTATTTTATAAACTACAACCATTTGTTATCTGAACTATGGTATGCACGATAAATACATAAATCTAAACTATGATATTATACACTATAGCAATAATAATATACTATCTGAAGTATGGTATACATTATAACAATATTGTCTCACTATCTGAATTCAATTATGGGGCTTTTTTACATAAAGGAAAACACTTCGTACCTCCTAGACCACGAAATTCCCAATCTTAACTCGTATCGTGTATTTAGTGTTATCGTTGATCATTAAACAATATTTCTAAAAACTCAACTAACGGTGAGTGAACGCATATATCTCCTCAATAAGTATTTATATAAACATCTTCTCACATCATCACTCACCACCACCACCACCATATCTAAGATCAAAATTGCTCTTAGATCCTTGACATACATCTATATTCCTTGAATATCTACCTGCCACAGTTTCTTGTTATAACAATAATAATATGTACGTAATACACTATTGGAAACTATCATACTCACATTTTTCTACCAATTAGGTGACGTCGATCTCATAGAAATGGGCAAAGTACAAAAAAAAAAACATTAAAAAACTTCTATCGTGTAGTCTAATCTCACTTTGTAGGTTCAGCATTATTATATTTATTGCTTTATTCCCCAGGCGACATAGGAGGCTCCATGGGTCTGTTTATCGGTGCTAGTGTACTCACAGTCTTTGAAATACTTGACCTCATCCTGTTCACGTGGGCAGCCCGTTTTGGTGGACGTCGACAGTGACCTATCGACGCCGCCCCGCATTCAAATGTGCCAAAATCTTGTTGATATTCAATGAACTAAAAAATATTATGAATTAACAGATTTGAAAAAATGTCGGTGATTATCATAGTTCTCTTCTCATATGTCTGTCTGAATGCTTTAAGAATAGAATTTTAAAAGCCTATCGATGATGACGACATGTTCTTGTGTGTAACTTCTTTCTTGAAGGCAACAAAAAACAAAACGAAAAAAAACAAAAAACATTGTCTGTTCTGATTGAAATGACGAGAGAAAACACAAATCAGCCTGCAGTGTTTGTAATACAATACTACGTGTGTTGCATGTTGATTCCTGTAGTTTTTATGGGATTTTCTTTTGTATGTTTGGTTTTATTTTCCACTTGTTTTGGGTTTCTTTTTAATGGGGTTTGGTTTGGGGGGGG